TTTGGAATTTTTTGACTTTTTTCGCTTGTAAATAAAAATTACCGAAATTTTTACCGTGGTCCTTAATATCCTTCGGGAATCCAATTAAGTGGGTGAAACCATCCAACTTGTCTTTAAACGACCAATTTACCGGTTTACAACTTGCATAGATTTCATTAACTCAAGACTACCATGAACATTTATGACAACATATAATGATCATTCATAGTTTAAAACATTATTATATAATCCCGAGATGTATCCTCTAAAATCTTAAAGCTTTTCGACTTCGGGCCCAAAACCTCAAAAATTTCTCAAAAAGCGTGGATGTTAGTCTTCAATTTTTGAATTTTTTACTTTTTTTCGCCTGAAAATAAAAATTGAAGAAATGTTTAGCATGATCCCTAATACCCTTCGAGAGTCCAATTGGGTGGTTGGAACCATCCAATTTTCCTTTAAACGACCAATTTTACCCGTTCACAACTTGCACTGATTTCATAAACTAAAGCCTACCATGAACATTTATGACAACACATAATTATCATATATGGTTCCAAACGACATTATATGTCCCCGAGATTTAATTCCTTAAATTCAAAATCTTTTCGACACCGGGTCCTGAAACCTCCAAGATTTCTCAAAAAAACGTGGATATTAGTCTTCAATTTTGGAATTTTTTGATTTTTTTTCGCCTGGACATAAAAATTGCTGAAATGTTTACCATGGTCCCTAATACCCTCCGGGAGTCCAATTGGATGGGTGGAACCATCCAATTTGCTTTTAAACGACCAATTTACCGGTTTACGGCTTGCACCGATTTCATTAACTCAAACCTACCACGAAGACTTATGACAACAAATAATGATCATATATGGTTCCAAATGACATTGTATGACCTTGAGATGTATTTCCTATAATTTCAAGACTTTTAAACACCGGGCCCTAAAACATCCAAAATTTCTCAAAAAACATGGATATTAGACTTCAATTTTGGAATTTTTTGATTTTTTTTCGGCCGAAAATAAAAATTGTTGAAATGGTTACCATGGTCCCTAATATCCTCCGCCCGGGAGTCCAATTAGGTAGGTGAAACCATTCAATTTGCCTTCAAACGTCCTATTTACCGATTTACAATTTGCACTGATTTCATTAACTTAAGCCTACCTCAAACATTTATGACAACAAATAATGATCATATATAGTTCCAAACGAAATTACATGACCTCGAAATGTATTCCATTAAATCTCAAAAAATTTCGACACCGGGCCCCGAAACTTCTAAAATTTCTCAAAAAGCGTAGATTTTAGACTTCAATTTTAGAATTTTTTTTAAAAAAAATTCGCCTGAAAATAAAAGTTTCCTTAATGTTTATCATGGTCCCCAATACCCTCTGGAAGTCCAATTGAGTGGGTGGAACCATTCAATTTGCTTTTAAACGGCCAATTTACCGATTTACAACTTGCACCGATTTCATTTATTCAAGCCTACCACGAACATTTATGAAAACAAATAATGATGATATATGGTTCCAAACGACATTATATGACCCTTACATGTATCCCCTAAAATCTCAAGTCTTTTCGACACCGGGTCCTGAAACCTACAAAATTTCTCAAAAAGCGTGGATATTAGCATTCAATTTTGGAACTTTTTGACTTTTTTCTCAAAGAAAAAAAAAACCGCCGAAATGTTTACCATGGTCCCTAATACTCCCCGCGAGTCCAATTGGGTGGGTGGAACCATCTAATTTGCCTTTAAACGACCAATTTACCGGTTTGCAACTTGCACCGATTTCATTAACTCAAGCCTACCACAAACATCTATGACAACATATAATGATCATATATGGTTCCAAAGGGAATTTTATAACCCTTAGATGTATTCCCTAAAATCTCAAGAATTTGCGACACCGGGCCTCGAAACCTTCAAAATTTCTCAAAAAGCGTGGACATTAGCCTTCAATTTTGGAAATTTTTGACTTTTTCCCGCCCGAAATAAAAATTGCCAAAATATTTATTTAGTCCATAATATTCTCCGGGATTCCAATAGGGTGGATGGAACCATCCAATTTGCCTTTAAACGGCCAATTTACCGGTTTACAGCTTTTACCGATTTACCGGTTTACAACGACCAATTTAATTAACCTGCACAGGACCCGACTTGAAGTAAATTGACCCAAACCCGTTTGAACCCGAATTTAACCCGACTTGTTACTAACCTGACCTGAATTCAACCCGACCCGTTCCTAACCCGACCCGAATTTAACCCAACCTGTTACAAACCCAACCCGAAATCAACCCGACTTATTATTGACTTAACCCAAATTAAACCCGACTTGTTTTTGACCCGAACCGAATACTACTTACCCGACCCAAAATTTCAACACAATCTGTTACTAACTCAACTCAACTCAAAATTAACACGACTTGTTATTGACCCGATCTAAATTCAACCCAAATTATTCCTAACTCGATTTCAAATCATCTTAAATGCAATTCAAACCACCTTATTATTGTTGATCAAAGAATTTTGTCTTGGGAGACCAAGTCAGTCCAGGCCAGCAAAAGAAAGGAGCATCATCCTCAAATTTAAGAGTTAAATATAGTACTCTATCTGTTGTATGGTCAAAGGAGATAATTATCTTCCTAACTTATAGACTATGGTTTCCTAGTATATTGCCATATATATTATAGTCAAAGGAAATAATAAGCTTGATAAAATTATAATTATCTATTTATAGTTAGTTGAACCCGAATATGACTTGACTTGGAATGACCCGGCCTGATTGTAACCTGCAAATTATTGACTTAAACATAACCTAACTTGAATCCGAGAATGACTAGACTTGGAAATGACCCAACCTGATTATAACCCATAAATTATTAACTTGAACCCGAGAATGACCCGATTTGAATTTGACCCAACCTGATTATAACCCACAAACTATTGAATTGAACCGAACCCGAATCAAACCCGAAAATGACCCGACCTGAATCGAACTCGCAAATTATTGACTTGAATCGAACCCGAGAATTACCCAAACCCGTTTTAACCCGTGAAAACCCGAATTAAACCCGACCTATTGTTCACCTGACCCAAATGTAACCCAACCTGTTATTAACCTGACCTAAACCCGACCCAAACCAGATAAGAAGTGTTTCGAGTGTTTTTGTTCCTTGGGAGAGTTAAAACACTGAGACTGGATTCAGCAAAGGACGCCTGTATCTGCAAAGCAAACAGACCGCCGGATGGTCGGTGGTCCGCCTCCAAAGATTAAGTTAGTAAGTATTCGATAGTAAGTATTGTCGAGCATCAGAGAATGTTTTCTTGCTACCATCCGGCTGTATGTGCCGGATGGCTTTTCTTGTGCCCGTTTCGGGGAAACGGAGCCTGGTAAGGTCAAATAGGGGCCGAACCTTCTCCGTAGCGGCAGGATGAGGAGTCGGCTGACGGTCCCTGACCGACTTCTGTTTGCCAGCCTGGGCTGGTTTCTTGGCCGACTGCTCCTTTTTAGGAGTAGGCGAGTTGTTTGATTTCACCCCTGAGTCTGCTCAGGATTTTCATGAGTTCATCTCGAGTGACGGGAGTTGATCCTGCCACCTGGGAAGGATCACCCGTCCGCAACGAGATCTTTTTTGGCTGACCAACAGTTTTGCTTGGCCCCGCCTGATCAGTGTAACGCTCCCTCTTTTCCCTACTGCGGATGCGTTTTGAGATGAGGGACCCGTTAGGATCCACATAGGTTTCGACATCAGCGTCGTCCCCTGAGTCATGGTCCGTCTGGACCACTATATCTTCTGGAGGCCGATTGGCCTCAGGATTCGGTACAGGGACTTGTGAAGCCATTTCAGAGGTACTCTCCCCACAGACGGCGCCAAATGTTTCGGGTGTTTTTGTCCCTTGGGAGAGTTACAACACTGAGACTGGATTCAGCAAAGGACGCCTATACCTGCAAAGCAAACGGACCGCGCGGATGGTCGGTGGTCCGCCTCCGAAGATTAAGTTAGTAAGTATTCGGTAGTAAAACGTGCGGAAATAAAGTTATCTGCTCGGATTCCAAGCTCAGGTAAAGTGCTGTCTGTTCCTTGAAAACGATAGCTCTGTAATAAATGTGAAAGTGACGTGTGGTCTCGTATTACGTGTATCTGTCCCTGTCATAAATGTAGGAACTGTCCCTATTTATAGGGTCCTTTTGGAAAGTGTGCCCTCCCTAGGATCTGGTGACCTAGGGATTAGGTCACGCCGCAAAACGGAGCCTCAAGGTTTGGGCCCTTGAAGGCCGCCATTCTAGAGGCAATGTCTGAGTGACACGTGTCACTGAGCCCAAAAGGCTTTTGGGCATCTTTTAGGGTGACACGTGTCGCCCTCTGAATGGTCCATGCTGGATCGTCAATCTTTTTGGGACAGAAGGATGTTCGCCCACCACGTATCATCATCTCATAGGTCCAGATGGCACCTTTACTAATGACACATGGCAGTTTCTGACTGGGCCACCTGGCCGGGTAAAAATACCCAAATCATTTTCCCCTCACAGGATTCACGTGCATTGCACATGGCACCTGTGACAGGTGTCATCATTCGTCTGGACAGATTTTCAAATTGCATTTTGGGGGGGAAAATTTTGGTTTCCCCTTTCTATAAATAGGAGAGTTTGACTCCATTTTTGTTTTCACACCTTTGTGAATCTTGGAGAATCTTTGGACTTTTGACTTTCAAAGACTCTCAAAGACCTAAACTTTGTCAAGAATCCGACACTCGGCTTTCCGTCCGTCTGCTTCAGCCAACCAGGCGTCTTATAATACCTTCTTCTAAGGTAACCGCCTGATCTTTTCTTTTATTCTTTCTTGCATTTTTCATTTATCAAATGGTTTCCCAAACGTACACGGCACGACCTAGGTTAGTGATCAGCCGGTCATTGGGGACGACTGAATCTAGAACTAGGAGTGCCGAATGCTCGTTCGAGAACTTTCCTTTAAGTACATCTCCAAATCCGACAGTGTCTGTGCATCTGCAGGACACGATGGCTCGAACAAAGCAAACAACAAGGAGATATAGGTCGGATGGTTCCTTTTACCATTCGGACAGTGAGACTCCCAACTCTGACGGCTCCATTAGGGTGCCTGCTAGCGAAATTTCTGAGCACCCTCCAAACCCTTCTTCTGACCTTCCCCTAACTCCAACTTATTACTCTTCCCCTTCTTCAAGCGGCACCCCTAGCGATACTATACTGCGGGAAGCTGACAGTCAATACCAGGCCGAGCCTTCAGAACAGGCGTCGGAGGAGATTCTGGGGGAGGACCCTGCTGGCCCTAGCCGGCAGTCCCCTAGCTCTGGGGAGAGTTCTGATGACGATTCGGCCTCGTCATCTTCTGATAATGCCTTCGTTACCTCAGAGGAGGCTAGAGCAAAAATAAGCACTGCAAGGGAATCCTTGTCAGTGGAAAAAGGGGAAGGCTGGGCGGAGCCGAGTGCTTCTAGGCGCTTGGAACGCGCCCCCTACTATCACCATGTTCCGCAAAGCAAGCGGACCTCCATGACATCCGGTCTTGCTAATTTCAAGCGCAAGACCGTAATGGGTCATGGCTTTTCCTTGTCCGTTCCCAACAAGGATGACATGATAACCTGGCCGACCTTGGCCAGTTATAAGGACCAAGCCTTCGGCTGCTACGAGGCGGTCCTTCAGGCTGGTCTACGCTTCCCTCTCCATCCGGCCGTGGAGAGAATACTGGACGGATACCAACTGGGTATCTGGCAACTTGTCCCGAATTCATGGAGCAACATCAAAGGGTACGTTGCCGCATGTGAAATGCTGGAGGTGGATCCCAGCTTTGAGGCATTTGCCGACATGCATTATCTCAGCCGAGCGCCTGCCAAGGGCGGCGATGGCTGGTACACCTTGTCCACCTGCAAGGGGTACATGATGGCCGTCGGCAAGGAGAACAAGTGGAAGGACTGGAGAACAAAGTTCTACATAGTCCATTCCTCTGATAGCCGACTGAACCAAAAATACAATAGGTGGAACAAAGATCCGCCCCTCCTGGCCGGCAAGAGCGCCTTGCCCCTTCTCCCTAGGCGGGCCCAGGAGGAAATTTTTGACCGGGGTTTGTTCAAAGTGTCCATTCGGAAAAATGAGCAGGGGGAGAAAATAGTCATCCCCCAGAGCTACATTCCCCTTTGCAAGTGGCTGGAAGATGGGGTGTTCTTGGCCGCTTGTGGGCTAAGCTCTGAGATGCCGAGAGTTAGTCGGCCGTCTGATTCTTTGCAACCTTTAAATTGTTTTTCAATGTATGTTTATAAAGTCTAACTTCTGCTTTTGGTGCAGAAAAAGCTGTGGAAAAGCTCTCGGCAACAAGGAAGCCGGCTGCCGTTTTTGCAGCAAAATATCGCTCAAACGTCCTTAATCGGGCGAATGACGAGCAGAAAACAGCCGGGACTCCCAAGGTAGCTATTTATGACACTTGGTATATTTTGCAACAAAGGTTAAATTTTGCCCGCCTATTTTTCTGACGCCTTTCTTTTTGCTCATGTAGAGTGGTTCCACCAGGCCCTCTCCCTCCAAGCAATCCCAACCCAAGATTCAAAAAACTGGGGCTGGTGATGTGAGTGCATCCGGCAAGAACAAAAAGCACATTGCTCACAAGCCCAAGAGAGGGGAAGGCTCAACTCTCGAAACTGACAGGGAGGTCGGTAAACCGGATGCTACTCAGGCATCGAAGGGTGGCTTTAAGCAACCCAGCACTGCTGTCGGCTCAACAGGAGAGAAGAGGCGTCATGGGAAGGAGGAGGAGGTTCAGCCGGACGGTATTAACCGCGCCTTTACTGAATTTCTATGTCAAGATAGTTTCATAGAACTTCTTTGACTAACTTTTAATTTTGCAGCTCCTGTGCAAAGGCCGACTGTCGTCCAGATGGCCAAGGAAATGCTGAGGGCGCTTGACCCGGAGGACAAGGCGTCCGTAAGAGGAGTCGGCACCCTCAACTTGGATGCCATCTTGGGGAACCTCTGTGAGGTAAAAAGTTAGCTTAATTTTCTTAGTATTTAAGCATATATCCGACTAGTCTTGACCATTCGGCTCTTTTCTCATTTTCAGGCTATGCTACGCATCCAGGGGCTAAGAAGGCCAATCCAGGAGAAGTCTAAAGAGGTAACAGCTGCTAAAGCTCGAGCCGAGTCCGCCTTAGACCGAGCTCAATTTGAAATTGCTCAGAATGAGCTTCTGACCCTTGATATGATGTATTCCCAGGCGGACGCCAACCAGCAGGTGAAGAAAGACTTGGATTCGGCTCGCTCCAAAATCAATGACCTTAAGGCCGAAATTAAAGGCCTTAAGGAAAAGCTTGAGCCTCTTCAAGAGGCCAAGAAAGAGGCCGAGAGGGCCAAGGAGCGGGTTGGCCGCCTGGAGGGGCGCCTGGCAAACCAGGAGCAGCAGCGGAAGACCAAGTTCCAATCCCGAGCTGAGGAGGAGAAGGAGGCCCTTGTCAAACAAATGATGGAAGACTATGAGTCCATCATGCGGATGGCATGGGAGGCGGTACAGTCGGGTGCTGATTTTGGCATCTGGAAATCCAAGTTTGATCAAGCAAACGAGGATTTCAATGCTGAACTCCTTCGCCAGGCTGAAGAGGAGGCGAACAAGGCTGATGCTGATGGCGAAGAGGCCGGCTCCTCATCAAGCTCTTCTGGGGACGAGGAGGGGGACGAGGAAAATGCGGAGCAGCCGGCAGGTGAAGATGCGGCTGCCTATGTTGATAACTCCCCTGCCCCTTAAGCTTTTTATAAGTTCTTTCTACGGTCGAATGGCCATTAATTTCATCTTCCGGCCTGCGTGCCGAGTATTTGTGTGTTTACCGACCGAGGGGTGGGGTAAATTAACAATTTCTCTGGCTTTGCCAGCATACAATCTTACCCAGTCGTCTGGTGGCGATTGGGCTTTTTAATTTGAAATCATTCGGCCATTTGGCTGAAGTTATTCATATTGTTGTTTTTTAAATTTTTTCATTGCATGTTTTTTTTCTGGCTAAGTATTGTAACCTGTATACCATGCGAATGTTCTTGCCCCTGGACGGATGTCGAGTGGTTTCGGTTGAGTGGATTGATTGACTTAGAAATTATTGATACTGAGAAGAGTATGCATGGTTTCTAAGTCAATCAATCACTATGGTGATTGCCCCAAACCACGCGACAGACGGCCATCCGGAGCTAATGAATAATTGTTTTTGTTCGGCCATTGGCACAAACGAAATACAAAATTCTTGGCTTAGCAAATTTGCTAAAGAAGAAAACCTTCGCCTGTTTTGCCACAAGAGCTAAAAGCAGGCGCATCTGGCCATAGGCCTCGTCGATATATGATGCTAGGTTTTAACTTAGTCTTAGTTTTACTTAAGAAGAATAATCCGCCTGTCTTGCCCCAGAGCAAAAACAGGTGCATCCGGCTTAATGCCTCAATAGTCTCTACTTATGAAACAGTGACCCTTTTCCGACTGTGCTAGAATAGTTAGAAAATTTTGGCCTTTTAGATTTCACTTTCGATTAAATCAAGCAACTGCGAATGCTGCCTTAGCATTCGGTAGGGCCTCTTGATATATTTGTAGAGCAATATGCCACCCAAATGGGAGATGCTTCTCCTCGACGAATTCGCCCGAATGGACGTCGCCGGTTATCTGACTCATGTTGGAGCAGACGGTCATACTCATGTTGGAGAAGATTGTGACCATTCGACCTCTATTTGTTTTTTTATTATCCAGCCATTGGCCTCAAAATGATTTTACTTGGCCTTAGGCCTTTTAAAGATTAAGCAAATATTCGCTAAGTGTTAGCATAAACTTAAAGAATTTCGTAGGAACGACTGCTTTAAAGCAGTCGGCTCCTTCAGAGAGATTGGGGCGTCTGCTGTTGGGACAGACACTTACTAAATATATTGGTCGCCTATATTTTTTACAGGCAACACTAAAAAAGACAAGTTGGAAAATGAAGGCATATTCTCATTAGCAAAATTTGAAATGACAAAATTTGAGGTATTTACATTCGTACTTAGAAATAGTACTTTTTCAAGTTGTCTACATTCCAAGTTCTAGGCATCTTCCTTCCGTCTGGTTCTTCCAGGCGGTAGGTGCCGTCTCTTACTTCCTCATATATTCGGTAGGGGCCTTCCCAATTTGGGGTCAGCTTTCCCTGCTCATTCGCCCTACCGACTGCCTCCATTTTTCGTAGCACAAAGTCCCCCACTTTGAGAGGACGCTTGTGTACTCTTTTGTTGTAAGCCCGAGTCATTCTCAGACGGTAAGTCTCATGGCGCAAGGCAGCATTGCCCCTGCGCTCTGGAAGTGAGTCCAATGCCAGCCGCATGGCCTCCTAGTTAACTTCTTCGTCATATAACATGACTCGAAGAGTCGGCTCAAAGTGTTCAATGGGAAGGATAGCTTCTGCACCATACACCATGAGGAACGGTGTTTCTCCAGTTTCCCCTTTAACAGTCGTTCTGATGGACCAGAGGACGTGTGGTAATTCATCCGCCCAAAGACCACCAGCCCGTTCAATTTTCTTTTTAATCCCGTCTGAGATTAGCTTGTTGAAGGCTTCGACCTGGCCGTTTGCTTGAGGCCGGCCGACTGATGCAAAGAAGCTTGAGACCCCTTGTTCTCTCAGCCAAGTCTTGAGTTGAGGTGTCTCAAATTGAGGACCATTGTCAAAAACCATAGACATGGGCACCCCGAAACGAGTGACAATATTCCTCCAGATGAAGGAAATGACATCTTTTGTCTTGATGTTTTTGACCGCCTCCGCCTCTACCCACTTGGTAAAGTAATCCACAACTACCAATATGTAGCGCTTGCCGCCTGGTGCCGTTGTGTAAGGCCCAAGGATGTCCATGCCCCATTTAGCAAAGGGTATTGGGCTGTGGATGGCCGTCAGGTCTGTGGCCGGACGATGGATGAGCTTGCCAAAATTTTGGCACTTGACACATTTTTTTACCATTTCCATGGCATCCGACTCCAGAGTAGGCCAGAAATAGAGCTGTCTGGCCTTGGCAGCTAGAGACCTACCGCCTATATGGGAGGCGCAGAAACCCGCATGCAAATCTTTGAGGACCTCTTTACCCTTATCTGGGGTAACACACTTCAACAGGGGTTTCAAGAAACCAGTTTTGAAGAGTTCTCCTTGCCTCAGCTCGAAGTTTGCTGCTTTCTTCTTCAGAAAAACCGCCTCCTGGGGTGAATCAGGGAGTGTGGCATCTGCAAGATAAGCCCGGATGCTGTCCATCCAGGTAGAGCTTCGGTCGAGAATTCCAATGGGGTCTTCATTAGATATACTTCTCTTTTCCATGACCTCCCAGAAAATCGACCGAGGTGTTTCATAGGAGGCGGATGATGCTAGTTTTGACAGAGCATCTGCCTGATTGTTTGAAGATCTGGGCACCTGAGTTAGATGGAACTCCTCAAGTGTCCCAACTTCACTTTTGACCGCCTGCAAATATTTTATCATGGCCGGATGAGTGGCCTCGTACGTTCCATTGACCTGGTGTACGACTAGTTGAGAATCAGAACAGGCGTCAATCTTCTTTGCCCCTGCCGCCTTGCAATACCGAATGCCGGCTAGCAAGGCCTCATACTCGGCCTCATTGTTAGAGACCTGGAACTTGAACCGTAGTGCATATTCGTACTTATCCCCCTCAGGAGATTGACATATAATCCCTGCACCACAGCCGTTCATAGTGGAGCTCCCGTCAACATACACTTTCCAAACCTGGTCAGTATTGTCCGGTGCAACCGGCCTTGTCATTTCGACAATAAAGTCGGCGAATGCTTGCCCCTTTATTGCCTTCCTTGGTTCGTAAGTGATTTCTAATCCTTGCATTTCAATTGCCCATTTAAGCATCCGCCTAGAAGACTCCAAGGTTGTGAGTGGCCGCTTGATCGGTTGGTCAGTATAGACCTCTACCGCATGCGCCAGGAAGTAGGGTTTTAGCTTCTTGATGGCCATGTAAAGGGCAAGGCCAAAATTTTCAACCATGGGGTACTGAAGCTCTGCGTTCCTCAGAACATGGCTAATGAAATACACCGGGAGCTGGATGCCGTCTCTTTCAGCTAAGAGAACGAAACTGAGGGCATGATCAGAGACGGCTAAATACATGAAGAGCTTCTCTTTGGGCAAAGGGCTAACAAGCCTTGGCAAAGAGTGCAGATGAGTTTTTAGCTTTTGAAAGGCCGCCTCTGCATCATCCCCCCATTCAAAGTTGATCTTCTTTTTGATTGCCTGGAAGAAGTAGAGACACTTGTCGCCTGATCGACTGAGGAATCTCCCCAAGGCCGCCAGGCTACCTGTTAACTTTTGCACTTCCTTCACAGTACGGGGCGACTGCATGTCGATTACCGCCTGTATTTTCTCAGGGTTGGCCTCTATTCCCCTTTGGTCAATCAAAAATCCGAGAAACTTCCCAGACTCAACGCTAAAGACACACTTTTTTGGGTTTAGCATGACCTTGTGCCGCCTGAGTGTGGCGAATGTTTCTCGTAGATCAGCAAGATGATCCGCCTGTTGCTTGGATTTGACCATCATGTCATCAATGTACGCCTCTACATTTCTTCCGATTTGATTAATGAAGATCGTATTAATCATTCGTTGGAAAGTAGCAGGCGCATTCTTCAAACCAAACGACATCACCGTATAACAGAACAACCCCTGATCAGTGACAAATGTCGTCTTTTCTTGATCTTTTTTCCACAGGGGGATCTGATGGAAACCTGAGTAGGCGTCCATAAAACTCATCAGGGCATGTCCAGCTGTTGAATTGATCAGACTGTCGATCTTAGGCAGTGGATAGCTATCCTTTGGACATGCCTTGTTGAGGTCTGTGTAATCAACACACATGCGCCAAGTTCCATTCGGCTTTTTTACTAACACAACGTTAGCTACCCATTCAGGGAAATTGCATGACCGAATGAACTTGGCGTCAAGCAGCTTTCTAACTTCGGCGGCTGCCGCCTGACTTCTTTCCTCGCCATGGTTTCTATTCTTTTGCCGGATGGGATTCTTTTAGGATCCACGACGAGTTTGTGGACAGCGAGATCCGGGCTGATGTATGGCATCTCTTCCACTTCAAAGGCAAAGATGTCTTTGAATTCTCTCAACAGCTGGTGCAGGCTCTCACCCAGCTTTGAAAAAGCAACCGTCCCCACCTTGACCGTCCGCTCTGGGCGGCTGTCGTCCAGAGGGATATCAATATGTTTGCCAGCAGGCTGGTGACGGAGATCATCCGACCGTTCCCCGGTCAGTGATTGTTATTGTTTTTCTTTTTTGACCACCACCAGCTGATCAGTCTTTCTTTTCTTTCCGGCTGATGGGGCCGACTGTTCTTCCTCGACATCGTCGAGGTCGATCATTTGCTTGCCCCGGCCGGATACTGCGTCCGTAGGCTTGACGTTCGAGAGATAACACTCTCGAACCGTCTTTTGGTCCCCATTAAGGGAACCGACTTTTCCATCATCCTTCTCATACTTGAGCAACATGAGAGCAAGGATGATGACGGCCTTACACTCACTTAGAGTGGGGCGGCCAAACATGAGGTTGTAAGTTGTGAGCTCTTCAACCACTAGGAAACGGATGGTCATGTACCGGCCGTCTCCCCTGCTTCCCAGGCGGACAGGTAAATCAATGCGTCCGACTGGGTGCACAAGCCCTCCCCCAAACCCAACAAGGGTATGGGAGACCTTCATCATGCTATTCGGTTTGTACTTGAGATTGGATAAGTATTTGAGGCTGATGAGGTCT